GCGTCACTTATACGTCACTTCCCGTTTGTTGCTGCCGTGTGTTTTGAGTTTGAGCTCCGTCAAGTTAATTCTTTGTCATCTAATTTTCTAACACGGCGGCCTACACCATGCCTCATTCCCGTCTCTCAGGGAACCGAGGTCACGACAGTAACCAGAGACGTTCCCTCTCGAGAACGGTCTCTCGACATGGCGTTAATGCCTTGGGGACTATATAGAACAACGCCGTGGAAGCGGCTAAGTAAAAAGGCTCAACCTCGGCGGCGCTAACATGAACAGTTCTTGCAAGACACTAAAAATAATCCCCAACCAATCAAATACAACCCTGCGACATGCCTCGAGGGGATTGGATGTAGATTCCCACTTAGGGATCCAATCAGGTTACTCAGAATCCATGTCTGATGGCAGGTCTCTTATTGAGAGAGAGAGATGCAGCACCATCGCCATACAAGGCTAAGACATTATAGTCATGTCAGACGGATACAAGTAAGTAATATAACGTAATATAAGCGGCAAGGCCGGGCACAATACTAACAACAATATACAGAGATATATTGATATATATAGATATATACAACAATATAGAGAACGGCTGCATCAGGTGCGCCACAGTCTGAATATGACGATGGCTCCACCCCCAATCCCCCTACATGACCTAGTCGAAACCACCAGCACAGTCAAACGGCTAGTGGTTGCAGGTAGAACCATGGGTCGTACTCACCGACAGGACCTGTGAGGCTAATGACCACACGTCCAAATTGTAGAATCTGGCGAAGGTATTCTGCGAAGACCATACAGCCGCCATACAAATATCTTTGATAGAAACGACCTTAGTCCACGCCCACGAGGAGGCAACCGCCCTCGTCGAATGGGCTCTGACACCAATAGGACATTCCATTCCCCGGCTGGAATATGCCAAGGCAATAGCGTCGACCACCCAATGTGATAGCCGTTGTTTGGAGACAGGCTGCCCTTTGGCGCTGCCTCCGAAGCACACAAACAGCTGCTCAGATTGCCGAAACTGAGCTGTGCGGTCGATGTAATCTTGCAAAGCCAGCACCTGGAGGGGGCGCATATAGAGCAGACCGAGGTGTCACACCGTCGCAGCCGCCGCCATCCTTCCAAAGAGCCTCTGATATTCCTTCAGTGCTACGGGACGGCACCGCCTGAATGCATTCAGAGTGGACATTAAATCTCGTATGCGCTCCTGTCTCATCGAGATGATACAAGATACATGATTGATTGGCAGGGGCGTAACACACTTTTTTTGTTTGTTCACACAGAGACCTAAACTCTCCAGGTGAAGTAACAGAGCGCGTTTGTGGCTGTTGAGCACATCCTCCGAATGGGCCAAGACCAGCCAATCATCCAAATAATTCAATATGCGTATCCCGCACGCTGGCAGAGGGGAAAGTGCCACATCCACACATTTCGCAAATGTACACGGCGCCAGTGCTAGCCCGAACGGCATCACAGTGAACTGATACATTATGCCTTCTAACGCAAATCTCAGAAAGTGCCTGTGACGAGGGGCGATCTGGATATGAAAATATGCGTCCTTCAGGTCCACCGAAATAAACCAATCTCCGGGTCGAATCTGCTTGAGTAGCAGCTTTAGCGTTGTCATTTTGAAAGCGCATTTGTATAATGCACAGTTGATGGGTCTCAGGTCTAAGATTGGACGGAGACCACCATCTTTCTTTGGAACGACAAAGTACCGGCTGTAAAAACTGCTCTCTCTCTCGCTCAGCGGGACCGCTTCTATCACGCTTTTCGCGAGGAAATTGAGAATTCCTTGCCTCAGCACCGGCTCGTTGTGTGCCGGAACGGTCAACATGACCACGCCATTGAACCAGGGTGGTCTGTGCCGAAATTGAGGCGTGTAGCCGTTCTCTATTATGTCCCACAACCAATCCGAAATGCCCGAAATGGACCGCCATGCGCTTGCAAAAAGACACAGAGGGCGGAGCGCCTCTCCCTTTGAATTCTGAGCAACGCCGCTGTATACCGTCGCCAGATACAAGGGGAAGCTGCAAGCCCGTCTCTATTGACGGTTTCACGGCCGAGTGTGAAGCCGCTATCGCTGGAGGAGGAGAAAAAAGCTCTTTTTGTGAGGGTGTCACAGACTTTATTGCATTTTGAACATACACAACACAGACATTCTCGTAGTCGCCTGCAACCGCCAAGGGGACTTTGCGAGAACATCTCGGACGCTTTGTTGAGGGCCCGTCGCTCGGCGCACTCCTCCTGTGTACCCTCCCGTCGTCAGGAATGAGGCTTCTGCTCTGGCGGAGGAGCTCCCCCGGGATGGCCGCCTTTCTTGAAGCCGTGACGCCCCTTCGGTGTCCTCTACTATGGAGTTTTGGCATAAACAAAAGGCTCTGGGTCCGGGAAAGATGAAGCGGAAGCAGAGAGGGGCCGGTTGGAAGCAGATGAGGATCTACTACATGCTGGGGGCTGCGCTGCAGCCCGGTGCGGCAGGAAGTGACTCATTGCCTTGGAGCATTTCTGTGCCTCTCCGAGATCGCTTCTGCCGAGGTGGCGTGCGCTTTGTCCGTGATGTGTGCGGTCAGATGGCAGGGCCTTGATGGCACCGTAGCACCCGCCTTCAGGGAGGCAGAGGAGGGGCAGAGGTGAGCGGCGATGGATTCCTCGATGGGCGGAATGCGCATATATCCTCGGGCTTCCGCCCCATAGACTCTAGTAAAGATCTCCGGCCCGCCAGTGGGAGTGCGAGCCGATTGAGGCGCAGCCCATGCCTTAGTGACCTCGTCGTTCAAGTCGGGGAGGAATGGGGCTCGCTTCCTCGGAGTGGCAACTCGGCGGCCCGAGTGAAGGAACCACGAATCCAGCTTGCTCTTAGCTGGTTCGTTGGGGGATTCCCACTCTAGACCGAGATCGCTCACGGCCCTGGTGAGAATCCCTCGCTGCACTGAACGAGATAATCTCCGAAGCGCCAGAGGCGGGTTGAAGACCCTCTTCTGCAAAGCACACCAAAGAGCGGGGGGTGAATTGCACCTTTCTGCGCGGTCGCCCACGTGCAGCTGTCGTCGCACCAGGTGGTGATGGGACGTTGCCGAGAGAAATCACAGAGGGCGATGTTCCTCCAGGCCCTAAGCACCCGCACTGAGAATTCCTCACAGTGCGGGCAGCCCGACCCGGTGAGTGCTTCCTCCGCATGGGCAAGACCCAGGCACAGGGTGCAGAACTCGTGAGTGTCCGGGGCCTCGATGGGTCCCGAACACAGCGTGCAAACATTGGACATGCTGGAACGCCAAGAGGGAAATCCGTCTTCCTGCGTCTTCTCCACAGCTGTCTTCGGTAGGATGCGTGAAAGAGGACGATTCTTAGCGCATGCCGCCAATACGGCGCATTATATAGTGACGGGGGCCCCGCCCCTATTCGCCGTCTTGGCTGGCATTGGTCAGTGAGAGTTGAAACTTCAATGGCGTTGTGCAATACGATTTCAGGTAGGTTAGTAAGGAAGGGAGTCCTCAAGGAGTTAACGCCATGTCGAGAGACCGTTCTCGAGAGGGAACTGAATCCTCCATTAAAACACATTCAAATATTAGGACGTTTGTGCCTTATTGTAGAAAACTGTACACTAAAAACTAAAATCGTTAGTTAATGTTAATTACAATTAGGAGTCCCATTCATCCAAATTGACATTTGACCCAGTAATCTCGCTAAAGTCATTATATAATGCCAGCAATCTCAAACAGCTGATTGGTTAATCTTTACCAGCACTGCGAAAAATAACAGGTACCACGTGACAGTGAACTGAAAATACGCAGTGGAAAGTTACATTTTTGGTGCAACTGGAAATTTCTAATATTTTGTTCTTAAAATTGTAACTTCATCCTTATAGAAATATTTGAATATTGAATTTTTATTTTTGAAGAAAATAGATGTAATTCCTTAACAAAGACATTCCGGATTACAGTATTGGGCAAATTTAGGTTAGTAAGAGAAACTCCATTCTAGTGAATTTAATTATTGAATTTAGACAACTAAAGGTTTACTGCACTTTATTCAAAACCTCTGCTGTAGCATTTTGTACTATATAACTTCTTAAAACTTGTGGCAATGTAAATGTTGTTGGTTCCTTTATGATACATTTCTTGCGCTGTTTCTCACGGGATAAAAACATCTGCTAAATGTAAACCGCTGACTAAATGTAAATGTAATTTCTTTTTTTATTGCAATAATAACAAACAAAGATTACAAAACAAACAGAAAACACAGTACATAAAAACATGCAAAAACATTTCAATAAAAAAACGAATTATGGTTTAATAGTTAACAGAAGAAGTAGAATATAATATACAAATTCTTACGAAATCGACAGAAAGGAGTAAGCTAAAGAGAGAGCGAGAGAGGGCACACAAATAAAGATACAAGTGAAGAATACTAAACATGGCACAAGTTATAGATGTTTTTATAGCTTTCTTGTTTATTTAGTATATTAACATTTATTATCACAATTGGAAGATATGTCATACGTAATTTCATCTCAGAAAGGATTTTGTTTCCCTGGTTTAGCTGTTTCTTGTGATTAATATATTATATATAGCCTGTGTATTATATACAGTGGGGGAATATTTATTTGATCCCCTGCTGATTTTGTAAGTTTGCCCACTTACAAAGAAATAAAGGGTCTGCAATTTTTATGGTAGGGTTATTTTAATGGATAGAGACAGAATATCAACCAAAAAATCCAGAAAAAACACAATATATAAAGTTTTTATTTTTTTTAAATATTATTATTTATTTTTTTTAAATACAACTTCAGTTCTTGTTTGAAGATGTTAAAACCGGGTTTACATTTAGTATATTTTCATTTATGGACATAAAACCTTCCAATAAAGTAAATGTAATTTCTGATCCGCAAACCTCTGCCTCTTTTAGCTCTCGGTCTCACGCCACTCTCGCGAGACGCGCAAGACAGCCGTAGCAACGAGGTCTCGCGAGAAGCGCCGCGATCACAGCAACAAGACAACCAAAATAAAGTGAGCACAACAAACCCGTAGCGAATGATGGCGGCGTCGCTGCTGCGCCGGGACAAGAAATCCACCGCCGCGCATCTGAAGGCAGACCTGAGGAGGAGCGACAACAGCTCGGGGCTGCGGCAGCTGCAGGAGCTGCTGGATAGCGTGCTGCACCCGGAGCGGGGCTCGGACCCGGAGGCGCTGGACTGGTGTAAATGGCTGCTGGCTGGAGGCGACGGCTTCGACGAGTTCTGCCGGGCCGTCCGCTCCTACGATAACGCCACCCTCTGCGGGCTGGTGTGGACCGCCAACTTCGTGGCGTACCGCTGCCGGACCTGCGGCATCTCGCCCTGCATGTCGTTATGCGCGGAGTGCTTCAATAACGGCGACCACACGGGCCACGACTTTAACATGTTCCGGAGCCAGGCCGGCGGGGCCTGTGACTGCGGGGACGGGAACGTGATGAGAGCGAGCGGGTCAGTAGCCACTCACAGACCGACTGGGGCTGTGTCTCAAACCCTGGACCGCGTTTAGGCGCATCCCGGGCCAGCCGCAGATTTGGGCGTCATCGCATAACGTTAGGCGCTCGGGCTTCTGGAGATCTTCTCGACATTATTATTATTATTGAGCATCACAACACAAGCATATCGCAAATGTGACCCTGGACCGCAAAACCAGTCATAAGAGTCAATTTTTTGAAATTGAGATGTATACATCAGCTGAAAGCTGAATAAATAAGCTCTCCATTGATGTATGGTTTGTTAGGATAGGACAATATTTGGCTGAGATGCAACTATTTGAAAATCTGGAATCTGAGGGTGCAAAAAAATCTAAATATTGAAAAAAAATCACCTTTAAAGCTGTCCAGATGAAGTTCTTAGCAATGCATATTACTAATCAAAAATTGACGGTAGGAAATTTACTAAATATCTTCCTGGAACATGATCTTTACTTAATATCCTAATGATTTTTGGCATAAAAGAAAAATGGATAATTTTGACCCCCACAAATATACTGCTACAAATATCCCCCAGCGACTTGCTCCAGGGTCACAAATGACGGGCAGAATTTAAGGGTCATAGTCTCCAGCCTGACGTGAGGACTACATAGACAGCATTTTAATAGCGCGACGCTGTAGGTGAACTCGTATCATGGAAATCAAAGTCTTAAACGGTGTAAGCTAAGTCTACCCCGTCTGTTTCCCCTTCCTTCCTGTGTTCCAAATCCACAGCATTGGTGTCACTTTTATAGGTGCGTTCCGGTTCAGCTGCATGTTGGGCCTCGCAAGAGCACTCCTAGTCCCAAGCCTAGCGACACATTGTTTTTGTGAGTTATAGTACAGGCACATCCAGAGCTAGAAGCTGTTTTGGGGATTATATCATACAGTTGCCTGTCTTGACCTTTTATTATAATTATGATGATTGTTATTTATATTTAAAGCATAACAGTCTGTCTATTATTGTTAACTAAAACTTAACTTGCATTTTAAAAATATATGTTATGTCAGCTAGTAACGAGGAAATATTTTTCGTATTTGTTTAGTGTAAGTTGAAGTGCTAAAATAATACAAATGATAAACAAAACAGCTAAAACCGTAATATTAACGTAAAACCAAAATAAAAACGGAATCTAATTCACAATATTAATAAAAATATAATAGTGTATTAATGATGATAAAATAACACTGATCATAAGATCTGCAGCAATCAGCCGCAGCACCTAGCATGCTGACTACCCGTACAACTTTGTGGTTGCATGATATATTGGGTGAATTCTAAGTATGCAGTATTTGGGAGTGTAATAATCTCAAACCATGTACGCTGGCTGTCTAGTCATCATTATAAGCACAATTGTTTGTCCTCATAACAGTGGCTGGTTGATATCACATTATAGTTGCAGTCTGGCTCAGCAGCATCATAGGAGTACCACAAATAAGCAGAGATTGTGCATCGCTTAATGAGCCGTCTACCTAGACAGTGTTTTTGGAATCCATGTATTGGCACATCCCGACTAGTGTTTTTTGCATAATAGTATCAAAACTTAATGAGCAGACTCACCAATTAAGGACAGCATTACTGGGTATCAGTGTTTCTAAGCCTGCTGTATTTCTGTGCATCATATTCTCAACTTAAGCTAGAGACCTGAGTGACTACCTAGGGCAGTGATCTCCTGCAGAGATTTGATTTGATCCAACCCTGATAAAACTCACCTGCCTGTAGCCTTCTAGTAGTCTTGAAGACTGTGATTAGCTGGTTCAGGTGTGTTTGATTAGAGTTGGAGCTAAACTCTGAAGGAAAGTGGCCTGGAAGGGCCAAGTTTGCCCATCGCTGACCTATCACATCATGTGTGTCCAACCTATTGTGCCATCCTGAATTCACACCATTTGTGGGCATTGTCACAAACTTACCTAGACAGAAAGAATGAAAACACTGGCGTGTTCTAAATAGGGTTGCAAAAAGGTGGACCATTTCCAGTAAAACTTTGGTTTATACCAGGGTTCCTCAAATCTTGCCCTGGAGGGCTAATGCGCTGCAGAGTTTAGCTCCAACCCTGATCAAACTCCCCTACCTGTGATTTTCTAATGATCCTGAAGACGTTGATTAGCATGCTCAGGTGTGTTTGATTAGGGTTAGAGCTAAACTCTGCAGGAAAGTGGATCTCGTGGACCAGATTTGAGGATCCCTGGTGTATACCATAGGTGTTTCTGGGCACTAAAGACATGTTCCAAATCAACAAAATATTTGGGTGTTAAAAATGACCAGAATTCCCAGCATTTTATGCACCAAAAATGGTGTAGGATTTTCTTTGGAACAATTTTCACCCAGAAATTGCTAGTAAATTTCACTAATAATTGTATGTAATACATTGATTAAATGTGACCTTTTGAAGTAGAAAGATTTAAAAAGTCCTGTAAAGCAGACAGTTTTGAAAAATAATTTTTACAGTGTTGTTTCTTTCCGAATCAACACGGTTCAAATGTTGAGTGTGCCAACTGGTTTGGTTTTGGGCACAGCTGTGCATTGATTGAGATATATATATATGCGCACTAACATAAGGGCCGGTGTGTTGGGGGGGGGTAATAGTGTAGAGTGGGCTGTGGCACCTGATCACTGCCTTACAGAGAGTGACACAGTCTGGGTTATTTTTAACCCACCCACAGGGTCAGTGACAGGTCTCTTCCCTTCCTCCTCTCACACTGCACAGGGCCTACACTTTAACGTTTATGCTGTGAGATAGATAGATAGACAGACAGACAGACGTGTGGAGGTTCACAAATGGGGGAACAAATATGACTGCTGTCAGCTGGAGCTCAAAAGATTCGCTGTATTTGATCAATGTTCTGCTGTACAGGAATGAGGATATTGCCAGTTTTATTCTTGGAAGGAGTGTAGTGTGAAAAAAAACAAAAAAAACATCAGCTCCACTAACACTTTTGCTTTTGCTATGGAGAGTGACATCAAACTACTTGCATGTTCTTTCGGATTCAAAGTGACTGTCCACTAGACCCAGCCTTCTCTATTCTTATTTAAAAATCCACGGTCTCGCCTTAGCCATGTTCACTGAAGATATTAACTGTGTGTCCTCCTTACAGCTTAATCTTTAGGTTATCAGTAGCATGTGCCATGACAGGTGCTATAAATGCTAAAACAGCACTGTGGGGTTCCAGAGCTTAATTAAGCCATGCACTGAAATGCTTTGTCATTCATTTAGTTTTCTCTTAGCTGCTAAACTAAACCAAAAATAGTTTATTTAATCAATGAATTAATCAAATTGATCTAATAAGTCTCAAAAATTGCTACTGCTTGGACTGAGCCGGCTATAGCAGTCTATCACGCCACATTGGAACGCGTCAAAAAGTGTAACTAAACATAAGTTTTGTGAGCGGTTTCATATCAAAACTAACAATTGCAGTTATTGGATGGGAGAAGCACTACAAGTCAGAAACAGACCGTTTCTACCATCAGAAACAGCTTAGACTAATGGGATTTAAGCATCGATATTGGTTTATCAAAATTAAGATCAATTAAAATCCCAAAATCAATATCGTCAACCCAGCCCTGGTGTGCGCACAGCTGACGTTTACCTGTTGTAGCTTGTCCTCGTTGTGTGCACAAAATAGATGCTGCAAAGTCAAAACGCCACATCAGAAAAGTGCTAATTCAATGCTGCTGTTTCAGCCCTCCAAAACCATTTGGTCATTCATCCGCCTCCTTGTCTTTAGTGGAACATCCACATCTCAAAATCCAATCAACAATCGATGTGTAGAATCTAGTCCTCGCTCTGCATTTGTTTTTACAGTTTCATTAAGCCTTTATACATGTATAATATGTAAAAAAGATCTGTCACTGCTTGGATTTCATTGTGACTTTAATAGCTGGTATTTTTGTGAGGGAAATACACTACCCATAATTCTGAACAGAGATTGACCAATCAGAGAAGTCGCTGTTACCATGGAAAAGAAAACCGCAAGAAATGAACTCCGCAGCAGCCACTGACTCCCATGAAGCATTGTGTTTGGTGTAATCGAGACTTTCTCTCCACACTCCCAGTCTACTTGCATATTTCTATCAGTGTTGGGAGTAACGCATTACAAAAGTAATAATATTGCAGTAGTATATTACGTTTTGCTGTAACGCAGTAATATAACGCATTACTAATAAAATTTGGGTAATATTATTACTCGTTACAATATCAGTAACGCAAGTTACAACAACATATTTTAACTCAAAATTAAGTGGTGAATTTACCAACACTGCAAAACAAAAAAAAAGCTGTCGGAGAGAGCTGCGGGGTCGGAGAAGAGAAAAAAGTCAGCGGTCGAGCGCACACAAGCAACAAAAATTAAGTTTAACTAAAAATAACAAAATCTGTTTTTATTAAATCATAGTCTATATGTCAAATATTTGACTTGAATAGCCTAATTAACAGATTAACAAAACAAAAGGACAAGACTGAGAGATATGCTGCTGAGTTTGTTTGGCGCGGCGCTCTACGAAAGTCCACGGAAAGGATCGTGCGTACTGCGTAGTAGCTACAGTCGGTGCCGTTCAGCCTGAGCTCGGGGGGGGGGGGCTAAAAAACTAATTAAATTGAGTGAAAATAATGAATGCCTATAAGCTTCAGCATACAAATTCAGCCACCTTTACATACAGCAGCTTTGAAAAAGGCAATTTAAAATTATTTTTTTCTGTGGTATAAACTTCTTATATGCCGCTGTTATTAGTAGGGCTGCACGATAAATCGCATGCGATATTTAATGCGCATCTTGTCAGAAAGCCGGTTCTGTAATCAGCGGTAAATCTCCATCACCTGCGGGCTTTCACATTGAGCAGCATTATTTACACCGAGCCGTTGTTCACTGACGAGCTGCGCAAAACCACGTTCCTATTCGCGCGATTTTTTTTGTGCAGCTCGTCAGTGAACAACGGCTCGGTGTAGTTAATGCTGCTCAATGTGAAAGCATGCGATTTATCGT